TATATATATATATATATATAAATAGAAATATTTCTCGAACACGTTGATTTTCTTCATATTTACAAACTTAACGTCCTCGTGGTTGAATTTTATTTGTTTTAAGTCTTGTTGAAATTCGTGGGCAGAGATGACCAAGTTATGACCCTTAAAGTGGGCCCTCTTCTTTTTAAAACAAAATAAATTTGAAACGCCCTGTATGATCTATTTATGTTACAAGTTTTGTTTCAGTAAGAGTTTAACAGCGCTCGCAATTGCGCAAGATCACATGAGCGCTGTGTTGCAAGTGCCGTAAAACTCTCTCACCACAACTGAAACTAAAGGCTCGAAGATCCCGCGTCTTAACTCTATGTTTATAGAGGCGTTTAACCCACACAAAATTGCAAATGTGTGCCCCTACTCCACCCCCATCCTTCCTCCCCTTTCCCCCTCGCGCATCAAATGACTATTATTATTTTGCCTATGTAGGCCTTACGCTTGATTCGTACTCGGTACTCAATTCAAAGCCACAGTGAGTTCAAGCTGAGTGCATTGTTTGTGTCCTTTTACATTATCCATTATTCATGAAAATGAATAAATTGCTTGTTGTTCGCGAAAGTTTATGAACTCCCGACATCATATGTATTGCCTTTTTAGCTCTCCCTTTGGTATTTTAATAAGTTGTTTATGGCCCTGATTCAATTTTGTCAATACATGTAGGTATAACTGTTTCATTTCTTTCATTTTATTGGTGTCTTGAAGCTTCCTCGTTGATGTCCTACTTGTTTCTTGTCTTTGCAATTACTGTTCTTATATATTCTTTTTGAGATGATTCGTGGTGTGTCGTAATGTGCCTGTCTTTAGCTATAATGAATCAAAGTTTGTTTGTTTGTTTTTTATTTTGTTTGTTTTTGTTTGTATGTTTTTTGTTTTCGGCTAGTGATTACTAATTGACGCTCATTTTACTATTACTCCAAGCCCCCCCCCCCCCACACACACACACACACACACACACGCGCGCGCGCGCGCGCGCGCGCGGTTCCTCCTTATCTACGGTGACTGACAGCTTCTAATTGTTGATAGCTGTGCATTTTTTCTTTCACTGTAATTATAGCTCCTTTCTCCTTTTCTTCCTCTTCCTCCTCCCTCTTCATCACCACAATACATGTAGCTGCTCTTTATCGCCACCTCCAATAACGGCTGATCACGAACTATAAATCGAACCGATTTACTGAATTTGTTCTGATTCTAGCCCTTTAACTCTTTTTCACCTCAACCCTCTTAATGAAATCATCTTCTCCTCTTGAGCGGGTGGTGGGAGGGTGGCACTGGTAGATCCTACTTCTTTGCTTTCTCTCTGTTGTTTCTGTCTGTTTAACTTTTTTCCTAGCACCATTAAATGTTCTGTTTTGTATCGATGTGCTCCTTGTTACCCAAAACGAATAGACAATCAGACACACAAATCTCCTCGCACACAACCGTAACTACCACCATTAATTATCAACCACCACCACCACTGCGACAAAAACCACACCCCTTGTACTTATACCGACGTGCCTCATGAACCACTAACCTCTCCATTCTCCCCCACCCCCTCCCCCTCCTGGTCCACGCCCCCCTTTCCCCCTCTTAGCCATGCCGCTTTTCGGCATGGACATCGGCGGCACGCTCACCAAGCTGGTCTACTTCGAGCCGGCCAACTTTGACGAGTTCGACCTAGAGGAGAAGGAGACCCTGCAGACCATCCATCGCTACCTCATCGGCAACGTGGCCTACGGCAAGTCGGGAATCCGCGACGTGCACCTGGAGATGGAGAACCAGACCATCTGTGGGCGCACGGGCAAGATCCACTTCATCCGCTTCCCGACCAGTCAGATGCTCTCCTTCATCGAGCTGGCCAAGTCCAAGAACTTCTCCGGCCTGGCTAGTGGGATCTGTGCCACCGGGGGCGGGGCCTACATGTTTGAGGAGATATTTGCTAAGGTGAGTGAAGGAAAGCTGCGTGTGTGTGTGTATGTGTGTGTGTGTGTGTGCGTGTGTGTGTATGTGTGTGTGTGTGTGTTTGTGAGTTGTTTTTATTAGGTGTATATATTATAATATAATATGATATAA